GTTTTCTCTTTGGTCATCTCCGAGCAAGCGAGGAACAAATTTTGCAGACACCCGTCTCATGTGCAAACCTTCGGTTAAAATTCGCTGGACCGTGCTCCATGAGATGTTCGTTTCCTCAGAAAGTTGGTCAATGGTCTTTCGACGATCTTCATCAATTGCACGTTTGATTTTGGCAATGTTTTCGTCATTTCTTCCTGTCAAAGGACGCCTGGGGCGTAGCATGTCTTCTGTTGACATGTTGCCAGATTTGAAACGGGAAAACCACTCGTAGACCTGTGATTTCCCCAAAGCATCATCATTAAAGGCTTGCCGAAGCATCCCAACAGTCTCGGCTGCAGTTTTCCTTAACAGAAAGCAAAATTTCACGCACACTCTTTGTTCCTTCTGGTCGGCCATCTCACTAATCGCCAAAGGGTTGAAAGAGGAACGCACACAACAGAGCACCACAGACAAACCACTTAACTCAGACTGACATCAGCTCACTAACAGTCGCAGGAGACCCCCAGCTAACACCACCTAGCAGCACAACTCGTAACTACAAAGCATGCACGCGCAACAGGTCGGTTCCGGTTATTTTTTGGTCCCCCCTAGTACAACAGTACCTCTGCTGATCAGGGTTTTCTATACTAACATGTAATATGAAAGATAATTTGCCCAAAAAGAAATGTTCTTTTATTGTTTGCAGTGTGTCCTCTCAACTCAGCAGAAGAATTTCTTGACCACACAATTAAGAAAGCACAAAAGAGAGAGAATTCATCCATTCATTCATGATTAATTTAATGATATGTCAGTATTTCAGAGTTATATAAGTGTTGAATGATACACTGACAGTGAACAATGAATCAGGAAAGAATGCGGAAGGACATAATCATGGTTTAATTTGAGGCACTACCCTGGAATCTGCCTGAAAGGCTGAGGAAAGCCAAGAAGTCAGTCGGAACAGCAAATCTTCAGACCTGAGATCTGAACCTGGAACCTACTGAATATGAAGCATGCATGAATGCCAACCACTTGTGCACAGCATTTTGTAGGGGGAAGGAAGAGGGAGAGGGGGAGAGAGAAATAATATCACGTGACATCAGGCTGTTCTTGACACAATCCACTATCCATTTCTTATCAAGAGTCACTTCCAATTGGCCCCTCCACCAAAAAAAAAAAAAAACGATCTAGAATGTCTAGAGGATGTGCTAATGATAAAATACAGAGTTGTTTAAATTTCTGCCACCAAAGATAATAAACTACCGAAAACAAGTTCAGAATGTCTCTCAAAGAGACCATCAAGAGAGAAAAAAGTCTTTTGTGCTTCCTGTATGGAGTTCCTCTGCATCCTAAAGCCTGATACACATGCTATCACATACTCAAGGTCCAGTATAGGTAATGTAAGATCTGTCTGGGTGTAAAACTTGGTCTTTTGTCTAAAGGAAGAACACAGACTGAGGGTGTTTGGGAATAGGGTGCTGTGGAGAATATTTGCACCAAAAAGGATCAAAATAATATAATGCTGGAGAAAACTGCATAATAAGCTTTGTAACTTGTACCCTTTGCCGAATATAATTAGAATAATGACAACAAGGATGATGAAATGCACAGAAGACCTACATGCAGGTGGAAGGATAATATTAAAATGGACTTTAAAGAAACAGGATGTGCATGTATGAACAGGATTCGTCTGGCTCAGGTCAGGTACCAGCAGTGGGCTCTAGTAAACACTATAATCAACCTTCAGGTTCCATAAAGTGATGAGAAATTTTTGAGCAGTTAAGGGTCTGGTCACTTCTCAAGAATGACTCAGCTCTAAGGCGTCAGTTATTCAGTTAAACTTGATTTAATAGGAAGTTTATAGGATAACGAGCTAATTATATACCTGCATACTGCCTTCTTCATCTGGTGCTCCTGGCATAAAAACATTACGACGTTTGAAGAGCTGCTGTTCCCTTTTCTGTTTTCGCAGCTGGACTCCTTCCTCTTCACGCCGCCTTCTAAGCTCTTGGGAATTCAGTCCCACGTTTTTATAGCGGTACTTATGTGTAGGCTCCGACATCTAACATAACATTTTATTTTACACATTATGCATAATATGAACTGGTCTACTCAGGCATGGAATGAGTTTGGATAGCTTAGTCAGTATAGAGATGAGCTAGGCACTGGATGGCTAGTGTTTGATGCCTGGGAGGGGCAAGAGTTTTTCTTTACCCCACAGTGTCTAGACCAGCTCTGGGGTCCACACAGCCTCTTATCCAACGGGTACAGGGAGCTCTTTCTCCAGGGTCAAAGTGGTCAGGACATGAAGCTGGCCACTCACCTAAATCTAGTTCTATGGACAAGAGTGGTGGGCTATAACTCCACTCCTCTATACACTTCATGGCATGGTGCTTAATTAGGCATAGGGGCAACTTCACCTCATCTTAACTACTCAGGCCTGTCCATTAAACTTTCTGGGGTCACTGATGACTCATTAAGGGGCAAACTTATTGATCTAGCATACCCTAGGCACTAGATCTATTAAAGGTTACTTGTAACTCTGCGATCCGAATACTGGGGCAGATTCCAATGCAAAATCTTGAAATTATTTTTCTTCTGTGTCAAAAACCATCGAAAGTGATGGGTCACATGAGAGACTGATTTTGTCAATGGACTACAGCTGACAATCATGGCCATAGAACGTGCATTTTTATTAAAGACCTGAAAGCAGCCACTGTGTTCATCTGATTTGTTTGTATTGCGTACATACGGAAATGTACTAACACTTAAAAGTTATCTTACCTTTCTATTGTCTCTCTTTCTGCCTTTTTAAAGGGGAACTTTCATAGATACTTCTTTCACTTGTAACTTTCAACTTCAAGGCCTGGTGTTTTTAGAGAATGATGGGAAGTAGTTTTGGTGATGAGATTATATGAAGATGGCTGCTGCCATGAACATGGAATGTGGGGATTTTTTAGAGTTTCAGGTAATAATTGAGTTATTTAATTTCAAATTGAAGTCGTATGGTGTTACTTTCACGAGTCAATTATGTTACTAAGGAATTTAAATAGTAGCAAATCAACAGTGCAGACTCGTTTGACCTAACCTACACGCTGCTGGAGGGATTTCCGCAAATATTTTTTCACGTGCAGTAAGATAGAACAAAAAACAAGCAAACTTCGTGGTTTTAGTCCGCAAGCGAACTATACAGACCGAGCGACCGCCGCTTGTCGGCGAAGTTAGTGCCAACTTTAGCTGATATACGGTGTCGCGTGGTCAGCGCAACGAATCCCCACGGCCGTTAATTTCGGTTTTCTAGACTGGTGCCGCTATTTCCTTGAAATAGCTCCTCAGTTTTCCTCAGGACGCTAAGTGGACCCCGTTCCAGACCCACTACTTCTCAGAAAATCTGGTGGCCCCCGGAATCGAACCCGGACCTCTGGATCCGTAGCCAGGAACTCTGACCACTAGACCACAGAACTAATTGAAACTATTAAATATGAGTGTATTTCGTGCCTCTTATTCCCATATGGGCCTCATCTATTGTTGTATAAAGATGAAGATTTTGATTTTCTAGGATGTGACGCCGTCTGGTTTGGTAGAGGTACCAGTGTTTGGAGAAATGTCTGCTAGAGGTGGTTCCTTCAAAACGTTGATATCTGTCTAACTAAAATGAATCACATCCCAAAGACCCTAATCTATTCATCGCCGTGAGAATTGCAAAGCTCACAAGACAGATGAACGAGCAAAGTTGTATTCTTTGATGAAGCAGCATGCCCCACATGTCAGGGATTGTAAACGTGGAATAAATGCAGAACTTGGGGTTCTGTTTCAGTTAATACCCTGGACTGTGAAAGAGATGATTCTAAAGTGAATACATGGTGCACATTCACAAACACAGAAGTGATAAATTCACTTTTCCATAGCTTGAGGGTTATGCTTAATATTTTCCAACTAGATGGTGCACTCTAGTGGCATCATTATGTGGTAGTCATTGAATGCTAAAGTGGATTTGTATAGGAGGACCAGTTTCTTGGGCTTTTTGTTCAACTGATCTCAGCCAGTTACTTTTGAGGGGCATGTTGAGTGAAGTTCAAAAGATACTCTTTAATTATGAGATTTAAATTTAGCAGTATGAGAAGCTGCAGCTAGTTACCCATAATATTGTGGCATATTCTCAGTACTTACTTGTAATTTGTATGTGACTTTAATAAGTTTGTCTAAATGTAATTCATTCTTCTGCACTGTGCTGTGTCTGTAATTGGCCTTGCGGCTGTTGACTCGGCACATTAATAATTAAGAATTGAATTGAATTATTTTTATTAATTTCGTTATTATTATTATTAATTAGTTAAATATTNACAGCTGCTGCTAGCAGATGGTTCTGAAACAACATCCATTTCTAGGAAATGTCTGTTGCTAGGCAGCAGATTCTTAATAAGCAAAAGTGGATGGCCACTGTTAGGGAATGGCTCAGTAAACACATTCTTGTGGCAATGGATATGCATATGAGAGTGGAGTTGTCTGTGTGGGCTGTGCCAAGGAGTTATTAGGAAGACAGCTGGGGCAACCAAGTCAGTTGTATACAGGAGTCTGTGAAGGAGCCGCCATTCAGAGAGGACTTGAGCACGGACGTTGAAGAATCTCCACCATTAGAAGCCATTAGCAGGGAATGGCTGGTGAAGACACAGCAGGCTGTGGTGATTTGTGAAGTGTGGAGATTGACGATGGTACTGTAATTACTTGCAGTTCCAAATCATGTTGTAAAGGAATCAATAAATCCAATATTCAGTCTAAAACCCTGTCTAGAGTCACTCCATATAGTCACATGATGGCAGCTGATCATTAGTATGCATGTATATGAGTTGTGAAGTGAGTTCATATAAATGAAGAGAGCCAAAAATGAAATATTTACAGTGTTATTTGTAAGACATGATTTGTTTTCTTCTAACTTACTGCATTCAGTAAATATTTTAATTTGAAATCCTTGTATTCTTTTATGGAAACCCTGTAAAATGGATGTATATGACATTTGTATTTGAAACGTGTACATGCACCTTTGAATGCTGTGATATAATGTTAAATGGCTGTTAGCTGCAACATGCAGACATCAAAATCAGAACATATCTTAAGGTGGCTAAACATCCTGGCACGGTATGTTCTTATCCTAATAACATTTCCAGAACAATCAGTTTTCCCACTTTTTAAACTTTGTATTTAGTTGAATGTTACATTACAGCATGGTAACATAAGTTTACTCTATTAACAAACGAGGGAGACTAGCACAGCCTGTGACTCATTACAGGCTGGACAACCAGGGTTTGATTTCCAGCAGGTGCAAGCTTCTCTTCTCAACCATATCTAGACTGGTTCTGGAATCACCCAGTGTCCTGTCTAATAGGTTCTGGGAACTCTGAAGCTGATCACTCATTTCCATATAGTCTGAGGTTAAGAATATGTGGAGCTGTACCTCCTACTCCCACATACATCATGGCAGGGTGCTTAACTAAGTACAGGGACAACTTTACCTTTCATCTGTCATCATTACAAAATAAAGTTTCTGTCTTATTTACATTAAAAATAAACAAATTACAGAATTTTAATTTTATGTACAATTAATGCAGGGAGCTAGGATAGCTTAGTTGGTATCATAACAGGCTAGAGGCTGGGGTTCAATCCCCAGAAGTGGCAAGAGATTTTTCTCTTTTCACCAGTATGTTGTGCTTTAAAACACACTGCAACCCTTTCCTCACTAAATATTTCCATCTCACTTATTAAACGACTAAAAACAAAAAACAGTAAACTTTGTAAGTACTCATGTATCCATGATATTTTTGTCATTTTTGACAATCTGTGTTGATTCTAAGATTAAATACACAGGAACTAGAATTTTTATCATCTTGATTTATTAGTTAAAACAATTATACCTTCAGTTCTTATGGCATAGGACTTAAATTGTCTGACTTGACTGTTGTCAGTATTTCAGAGAATGTCACCATGATTTTACTATTATTTGAGTTTTGAATGAAGAAGGCAATTCAGAATTTGGATAATCCATTAACTTCATAAAGCAGAGTACTTCTTAAGAAGCTGACAGTTGCTTATCTGGCCAATTTCCTTGTCCTGAAGATCAACACAGTAATTATGAGTTGGCCACTGGGTCTATCCTCAGCGAGATGAATCCAACCCCCACCTCACACTCCAGATTATTGGTGTTTAAAGGGCCACGCCATAGCTCAAGCGGTTAGTCGCTGGCTTCCCACTGTGGCAGCCTGGGTTCGATCATGGGTCTGGTCAAGTAGGATTTTTGATGGACAAAGTGGTGCTGGAGCAGGTTTTCTCTGAGTACTTCAATTTCCTCTGCCAATCTTCATTCCACCAAATTCTCCATCATCATAATCACCCGGGGCAGGTACAATAGGCAAATCAGTGGCTGCTGTGCCAAGTGAACCTGGCTGTACTCCACCACCCACTAAGCGAATTTAATTTTTAATTGGTGTTTAAGAAATGTGGTTCAGTTCATAAATCATTGATAGTATAGACAGATTGGCCAGACTGCATTACTCTTCATTAATTCAATATTCTTGCCATATACGAGGATCAGCATGAGGAACAATTTAAGACAGAGGTGCACCTTCTGTGGAGGACAGCTCCCCAGACAACTTATGGAATTGTTCTCGAAACTCTGTGAAAACGTTTGTTTGAAACATTGCACTGTAATGTTCATGCTTTAAGGTACAGACTTCATTATGCTCATTTGTGCACATTTTTCTGAGCCCAATAATATGCCCATGATGCCTGGATGATGGGATATCACTTTTATGACAGTCTGGCTTACTCGATGTGTCAATTTTTTTCAGCCCCAAACTGTCAGAACAGACTTGAACAAATGAAGATATGAAATAACCAACATGGCAGAGTAAGTGTTGCTTTAGGACCTCAGAAGAGGTCATTTTGCAGAACATCATACCATTTCATATAAAAAGGATACAAAAACTGGCCATCTTGTAAACACCATCATTTTCACATATCAGTATTCATGGAAGTGACTGATTTTGATAATTTATTTCCAGGATGCTCTGAAGAAGATGAGGATATTAGATGATAAGATCATTTACATGTTAAACACATCAATACCAACAGATTCATTCAAGGGTCAAGTAGACCCTTCTTCTACATGTAAAGAGCTATTTGATCAGGTAGCAGATGACTCTTATGTATTTAACAATGGATGTAAAGAATTTACAGTTTTTTTGTGCTGTGTTAAACTCATTTAAAATCGATTTACGATATAAACTCCGTCCTAAGTGCAACAGTTTATTGTAGGTCTTTAGTCTTGCTTTCTTCTACACTACATGTTTCGGCCACAAATGGCCATCATCAGGTGTATACACTCACGTAGCTGTTACACTGCACTTAGTTTAAAATTTAAAAACCCAGGTCTTCCCAATTGTTCCCTTCATCGTTGCTAACAGAATCTACTGCGCTGACATTTGTCTGATTCATACATTATCTTTGTTACCTACACACGTCAATTTTGACTTTCATGAACTGGCACTTTTAAAATCTTCAGTTCCAATTTTAAAAAATTCCTTTAATTCCCCCCCCCCAAAAAAAAATTTAAAATTTAAAATTCTCAGGGTTACTCGCCCTATGTCTATAGTGCTGCAGCGGCTACTTGTTTTCAGCACTGTACAGGTATTATTCTGTGTAGGCTCCCTGCGTGCGTGCCGCCGCTTCTCTTTACTACATGTGTGTAGTGTAGAAGAAAGCAAGACTAAAGACCTACAATAAATTGTTGCACTTAGGACAGAGTTTATATCATATACTGTATAGAGTGTAACAGGATGCTTAAATATAATATCATTTAAAATCATTAAACTGGTAA